GCGCGGCATCAGCACTGGAAAGATACGTTTGTCTTACTACTTTTAATGAAGATGATTGTGTTGACCGTTTGCGTATTACTTTGTTTAATTCGCGGCAGTTTGCACGTCGGCTTGCTGAAGAGATACTCAGCTACTCGTCCACTGCGATGCGTGTTGCATTAGCGCAGTCATATCTGACTATAATGTCATATAACACGCTCTCAAACGTTTAATATTTTGGGAGGAGTAAAATTTACATATGTGGTTTCAACAACCAGATGCATTTAGACTTGTCCAGTTTCGTCTGGAATGCGGCCCAGGCCACCTCTTGAAGTGGTTTGAGCGATCGGATTTATATCCGTCTCGAATGCGTTTCGGAGGGCATTTACACCTGGCCTTTTCACGATCGGATAGCTATCCGATCAGACAAAACGCATGACGTGACCTGGTGTAAACAGCCCCACTGTGAACCCATGAACCACTTCTGGTTGCCCAGTTAATCATGTGACATGAAATCCCACAAAATTTTACTATAAAAAATAAAGAATTCAGGGCCAGATGTTGTGGGTTAAACAAAAGATAACTTCCCTTTAACACAGATGGCTATATAGTTTAAAAATGTGTAAAGACATTCAGTACTTTGAACCTACAAATCACATCATACCTTAAAAATAACAAAATGAGCTTACGATAGAATTAAATCCACCTCCTTCTCCTGACTGATAACACTACTCTTGCCTGCTGGTTTTTATAGACAGCTCTAATGAAAACACTTAATTAATTAAAAAATGACATAAATCAATTTATTCATTAAATAATTAATTTAGTTCATTGTGTGTTAAGGGTTTGATTATGCTTAAATAAAACACATAACACAAGCACTAATGTTTAATAGTATTTAAGTGTTTATTATTTATTTTAAAACATGGTATTTATAAAAAAAAAACATTTCCATTTGTTTTGTAAGTTTGGTCTGAGTTCTTGATGCTTTTACAACGTTTTCACCAGCAGGTGTCGCCAGCATGTACTGTTTCAAGTGCTTCGAAACATCGAATAATTTTTCGAAGCAATTGGTTCAATTGATTCAATGCTTCAAAAAGCTTTGTTTCTCTCATCACTACTACAATCGGCAGCGCTAAACCCGGAAGCGCATATACTTGCCAGCAACCCGCAAAAATAAAAGCTTGCTGATTTTAAGTTTGAAAATGAAAAATGAAAATAATTCAAATGA